ACTGTATGTCATACTAAGCAGGTTAAGTGATCGGGCCGATCTCGTGAATTGAATTCGTTCAACAAGGTATTTGGGCTCATGAGAGTTAATTACCTTGTGAAGCAGCATTAGGCATTTTACTTTTAATAAACTTAGTTTTATTAAAAAATGAATCAGGGCACAAATTAGATAAAAAATATATAGGCCCATATAAAATTAAAAATCTATTATTAAGAGAAAATGTAAATATAATGGATCCTAAGACTAATAAAGAACAAATAGTACATAAAAACAGACTTAAGATATATACAATAAATAAAAAATAAAAAAAATATGTATAATATAATAAATAATGATGATCATCAATAATAATAACAAAAAGAAAATAAAATTTTTTTTTAATAAGAATAACTAATAGATTTAAATAAAATAACATTGTAAAAGAATGTCCATAAAACTTCAGTTATATGAACATTCTTCTGAAAAATGGAGGTGTAGCATGCAAACGCAGTCAACATAAACAGCAGCTAAAAGTAAACTCAAATAAAGAAACATTAAAGTCGCAGTCCATTGACACTTCACACACACAGCACACACACACACTTACAACATACAACAGAACGGCATTTAATAATCCAAAATATTGAACGCTGTTTTGTTGCGTAAATACAAATCAATAATGCCTAGTCAGCAAGACTCCGATCATGGGGAGGCCACTGCCCATGTCGCTAAGTGCACTGCCGCACATACAATGTATTAAACAATATTAGCGATCATCGACTCTGCTGACTGAAGCATTGGCCATAGTACTTACAACGTACTAAGCCATAACACTGAACGCTGCCTCAGTTGACTTACCCAAAATATGTTGACCGCTGGTTGTATGCAGCGATTGCTCCATTTAGAACATGGGAATAAGAACTTCAACGTAGGACGCCCATGTATAATTTGTAAGAAAGTACACGGGAATAAGAACGTCAGCTTAAGACGCCCATGTACATAGAAATAAGTATAAATAGAACAAGTAGATGCATAAGAAGGTCAATGTCAAGCCAACCGCCCTCAGTGGCGAAAGTAAGACCAAAATAAAAATTATTCGCCTTCAGTGGCGTAACAAGAAAACTAAAATCTTTTAATATTACACTAGTCTATATANAAACTAAAATCTTTTAATATTACACTAGTCTATATATATAATAAAATTATAGTTTAAAAAACTAAAACCTCGCTATTATAATTTCCATTCGTACTGTCATCAGGTATGTAACTTGAGAATAGAAATCGCTGCATCTTTTAGGCGTATAAATATTACATAGTTACATCCCGAGCTAATAAAAGGAAGGTAATAAAAATGAAATGTTTTTCGTATGACCGCGATGCCTGACCAAATGGCTGAACCGATTTCAATTCTGTAAAAAGCACATTTTTGGACCTTCCGTGTGGTAGGTTTTCTGATTTAAAAACATTTGAAATTTTTTGTTGTTGTTGCCGAAAAATGAAGAAAGCTGAGACGTCACGATTTCACAATTTAATAGAGTTTTCCGTATATTGTTTGTCACTAAACTACCAAACGGCTGAACCGATTTCGTTCATATTTGGAACATATGTCAGTACCTTGAAGGGAAATATTCCAACTAAAAATTTAACCGCTAGGTGGCGATGGAGCCGGGATATTCCTAAAAAATGCATTTAGTTGCAGATTTGGTTCATATTTAGAACATTTTTAGCCTATTAAAGAGGAATATTTGGACTAAAAAATTACACTATAGGGTGCGCTGGGGTCGGGATATTCTCAAGAATTATTTTACACTGAGAGAAGGATACATATACACTCTATATTTGTCTAAGTATGTATGTATGTATGTGCCTGGTTGAAGTCTAAACCGACGGTCAGAATCGAACGAAATTCTGACAGAGTGTTGCCATGACGCCCGGGCCTATAATAAGGACAAAAAAATTGGGATTCGATAAGGGGTCGTGGCACCTCCCATAGGCGTGAAACTTTTAATCAGCCATATCTTCGGGAATATAAGTCACATGAACTTAAAGCTTGCTATGCAGTCGTATATATGGTAGGTACTTATAGTAGAGTATATATAAATGAGTTTGCAAAAGTGGGCGCGGCACATCCCATAGGAATATTTTATCAGCTATAACTCCGGAACTTTAGGCCACATGAACTTGAAATTAGGTATGCAGACATAACTATGGTAGGTTCTTACAGTAAGGGGGCGCAGTAAGGAGGGGCGCAGTAAGGGGGGTGTAAAAGGGGGGCGCGGCACATCCCATAGACGTGGAAATTTTTATCAGCTATAATTTCACAACCATCAGTCACATGAAACTGAAATAAGGTATGCAGACATATCTTCGGTAGGTCCTTACAGTAGGCTATATATACATGAGTGTGTAAAAAGGGACGTGGCACATCCCATAGGCGTGGAAAATTGTATCAGCTATAACTTCGCAATCATATGTCACGTGAAATTGAAATTTGGTACGCAGACGTATCTATAGTGGGTGCTTATAGTAGGGTATATTTAAGAGAGTTTGTAAAAGGGGGCGCGGCATGTACCATGGACCTAGAATGTTTTATCAGCTATAACTCCGGAACTATAAGTCGCATGAGCTTGAAATTTCGTGCAGTACATAGCATGTATTTAGGCGCCTGGTGTTAGCAGACGCGCCTAAACAGATGAGGGGTATTCTCCAAATCTTGCAAAGCCATTGCATGTTGCACGGATTGCAAGGATTGCATAATTTGCAAACATACAACAACAAAATATATGGGAAACAACATTTCCTATAGATGCAAAATATGCAACGTCTAAACCCATGTATATATTTTGCAAGAAAGCGTAGCAAGGTAAATGCGACTCTGTGCCAGCTGTTTATTGTTATTCATTTTATGGTGATTTTGCAGCGAAAGGTAGATATTTATTAATTTTCTTTTATTTTAGGAATAATATAGCTTTATTTCTCAATTTCAGATTAAAATGGATCAAGATGGTGCACCCCCAACAAAAAAGGCAAGACAGGAACCGAACCATAAATGGACTGAGCGAGAGGTGTTGCTTATAATTGATTTCCTCCACCAGGAGGAAGATTTTGAGGTATGTTCTGATTAATCTTTATAAAAATGTATTATTTACATAGATTAATTGTTGCTTTTATTCTCACAGGCTCCATCGGCTAAGTTTTTTTACAAACGTTTTCTGGAGAAAACGCAGTTAAATGTTACTTGGGAATTAGTACGGTGGAAGGTGCGGCATTTGAAATCTCTTTACAACAAGGCCAACGATTGGCTGTCGGGTACTGGTGCAGGACTATTGCATAAAAGTGATGGCGTAACCATAGAAGGTAAGTAGATGTTATTATAAAGTGTGACTTCGGGACTATACAAAATACAAAACGTCACTTTCATTTCTAAACCGCACCAGATGAAAAGATATAACCGCGGATGCATGTACATACATTTTTGCCTTTACAATCTACTGTGGTATTGAAGTAAAAGAGAGTGATGTTTTTATTCTTAAAGCTTCTAAGTCTCCCAAGCTATTATATTTAAAATGTGAATTAGAAATACTTATGTATTTGTTTTCAGAAAAATTGGCTAAAACGTGCCCACATTTCGATAGGCTAAAGGAAGTGTTTGGTAAGAGGTTCGCAAACATTCAGCCACTTCTAGTGTCCACGGATGTGTCAAGTCCAAGTCCACCACAGCATTCTCCTGCCAGTCCAACTATTGTATCTCCAAGTAGTCCTGAGCTAGTGAACGAAACTGCTGTTGACAATTCAAGTGCCGCACCAGCTACAGCACCAGCTTCTTCCTCCTCGTCTAGCTTTCCTAGGGAAGTGGCACCCCGTACTGCTCCCAAACCGTCCATTAGCCAACTAGCAGCCGTACAAAAAGAAAAAATTGCTTTTGAAAAAAACAAAATGGAATTCGAGCGGGCAAAGTTTGAGAAGGAAAGTGAAATACAAGAAAAGAAAGTTTCAGTAGAAGAAAAAAGACTCGATATTGAAATGAAAAAACTAGAAAGTGAAGACAAGTGGAAAGAGAAAGAGTTAGAATTGAAAAAACTAGAAATAGAAATGAAAGAGAGAATTTCCAGATACGAAATTGATAAGAAGTACAAATAGTTTTCTTTTTTACTTATAAAAAAAAATACACTTGTGGTCAGCTGACTAATGTGTATATTTTTTTTATAAAAGTTTAGCACTTTACCTAACTAGTGCCACGTAATCAGCCAAAAAAAATTATTAAAAATCAACGCGATTTTCTAGCGTCTGGAAATTTGCACTTTAATCTACTAAAATTTAATGAACTACCAAACTGTATACCCAAAATTTTTCTTAAATATCTTAATAAAAAGTTTAAGATTTTCCTGTGCAAATGTTAAAGTTTGTTGAATTTTCATAATTTTGGTACGAAGTTTGAAATTTGGATTTACGTGGCGCTAGTTAGGTAAAGTGCCAAACTTTTTAAAAAAAATATAAACATTAAATAAACAAAAGAAAAATAGTCAAAACTAGTCAAAATATCACTTAACTTAATCAGCTGACCACAAGGGTATATAAAACGACAGAAGTACAAATGAAATAAGAAAAACAAGTTAAAAAATGCGAACTTGATAAGTGCATATAAAGTTCTTTTATTTATAAATATAAAAGTTATGTATGTTCAGCTGCAAACAAGATAATAGTAACAAAAATTAAAATGATGCTGTTGGCAACTTATGTTTATTTATTTATCGTTAATAATTTTCATTTACATAAAACATGGGTCGATATATATATATATCAGAAACAAAATAAATAAAACTTTCAAAGGTTTCACAAAGTTTACAAAAACTAATTAAACTTACAAAAATTCAAAATTTCACCCTCCACGAAAATAATTGTAAAAAATCAACGGTCATTTTTATCGACTTGAAACTTACACTTTATTATTCTAATTTGAATTGGCTACAAGGCTGCTTACTCAAACTGTTTCTAGGAAATCTAACTAAAAAAATTTTAATTTTGATTAATATTTTTTTAAGTTTAATTAGTTTTTGTGAACTTTGTGCAAGCTTTGAGACTTTTATTTATGTTGTTTCTGATATGGATCGACCCATGTTTTATGTAAATGAAGATTATTAACAATAAATAAATAAAAATAAGTTGCCAACAGCGTCATTTTGATTTTTGTTGCTATTAAATTACTTTAATTAAATTAAATTAAATTATATTAATGAAATTAAATTAATTAAACGAATAAACACTTTCTATTATTAAATAAAAAATTGTTTGTTTAATAAATATTTTACATCCTTTTAGGAACGAACCAATCTTAAGGTAGGTTCATAAGAAATGATAAATTTTTAGTATTTTATTAATCGCCTAGCATTAATGCACACAAATAGCTGCGTTTGGATTCTGCTTGACTACTATTTTGACCAATTTCATTCATAGTAAGCTCATCCAGTTCCTCGTCATCTTCAAGTACGTTATACATATAATCTACATCATGAGATGGGGTTCGTAGTATGTTATGCAATATGCAGCAAACAAGGAACCAAGTTGAACAAAAATTATGACTCTTCTCATCTTGAATGCGAACTCGCAGCTCTTTCAGGCTTCCAAAACGCTCCTTAAGGAGCCCAAAACAATGTTCTATCCTCACGCGAAATCTACTATGGCGTAAGTTAAAGGCCTTGCGTCTGGCGTAGTCCAACTGTTGGGAGTTTGATCGATATGGGGTAATGATGGTTTTTAGTAAGGGATAAGCAGAATCTCCTGCTAACCATTGGTCAAAAGAAAAAAAATTATCTTCTTCAGTACAGAGGGTACTAGTACGAAACATGCGAGCATCGTGAACACTTCCATAATGTCCGACTACAACATGTCGAATCTTCAGTTGATGGTCACATACAACTTGCGCTTTGATAGAGTATATCCGACTTTTAGAAAAATAAGTTGTATGGTTTTTCACTGGTGCTTCGGCAAGTTTCAGTTCAGTACCGTCGATGTATCCTATACAATGTGGCATCTCATTATACGTGTTTTTCACTATTTCTTGCCTTTCAGCAGCATCCGGCCAGTAAATATATTTGGACTTGAGTTCCAAGAAAGCTTGAAAGACTCTCTTTGTTATTTTGTAAATAGTTTCACCATCACCAACTCCAAACACTGAAGCTATTTTCCTAATAGCCGCATTTTCGCCAGATGAGCCTAAACGAAATAAAACTATGGCCAGTTGATGATCCACCGAATATTGTCTAACAGAGTGCGATTTGTTAAATTCGATATTGTTTCTAATCAAAGACAGTATAAATGTAAATTGGTCTCTCGTAACTCTAAGCATCTGCTGAAAACGGTATTCGTCTAATTGTGGAAGGATAGTGGTTCTCCATTCCAAACTTTTAGGCACTTGTTGAAAACTTCCCCGATAGTTCGATAAAGTGATTATAAGTTCTTCATTCAAATTTTCCATAATCTCCCAGAAACTAGCTTCATCTAGAAATTTTAAATTAGCAATGAAAGCGAATCGATAGGATAATAAAGTTTAATACAGTAAATATACATATACAAATGTAGGTAAATAACTACCATCCTGAAGCAGAATGTCGAAAGCAGCTTGTTCAATCAGAAAATTTATAATTTTTTGCTTTTCAGAAGTGCGCGGCATTTTTGTGTTCATTAATTGTTTTGTTTTTTGATAGGTAAAAACAATGTCACATATGTAATCAGCTGTTTGACTTGAATGCAACTACAGTTCTGCAATAGGGGTGCTCTCGTACTCTTGCAAATTTTGAATAGTATTTTTGCATTTCGTGCAATACGTGCTACGTGCAACACTTCGAGAATACCCCTATGGTATTTAGATGTGTCTGCTTTAATTTGAAGCTTTTATAGTATTTTATGATTATATTGCAGAGAAAAAAACCTGTAAAAACAGTGCATTATTTTTAATAGAAGATAAAATGGTTTAAAAGGAAGTTATGTCGGGTATCCGGCATGAATTAGTGTTTACGATTGCGTATTGTTTAGCCACCAGCATTTTTTATTAATAGAAAGGGCTTCTATTTTGTTTACGGGGGAGATGTATGTATCAAAACGTTGGTTTTCTCTGTTAAGGACTTTTGACGTAACTGTTTTAACGTTGGCTCTTCTAAATATGTGATAAATAATCGGTATATGGTCCTTATTTTGTATAAAACCGTTCTTATCAAGATAGAGGAATGATTCCGGTGGTGTAAATCCATTTTTAATGGTTGAAAGGAAATATTCATCGCTTTCGTGGTAAGGTGCACGTATTAGAGTGTTATTATCATTGTAAAGACAGCGCATTATGTGTCTCCTAGTTAGATTTATTATATGACAGTCGATTCTGGGTACTTTGGCTGTGTTATACACTTTTGCATTCGTTACATATTTTGTGTAGTTACTTTTTGCTGTCCTATATAAGGAAGTGCATGATCTCAGAATCCTTCTTTCCAGTTTTCTTAGCCTTTCCATGTATGATGGGGACAAGTTATACCAAATAGGACACCCATATGTGAGTATAGGTCTTACTAATGAACGATACATGATAGATTTTAGTCTGCTATGGAGAAATTTCGTCGAGAACATTTTCTTATAAGCATAATATGCTCTAGTTGTTTTCTTTATTTGGTTGTTAATGTGGTGATTGTAGTACAAGAACTTATCTAAGTATATGC